TTATATGACACATAGAGGCTGATTTACAAAAGGACAGAATATTCCAAAACAAACTGGGTGAAAATTCCCTTCAATTATCCAGTCATGTGCAGATGAAACAAATAAACAAGGATTTGATTTACATGACTGGATAATTAAAGTGAACCTTCATACAATTGTTTATATATAAAGTGGCCTCCACATATCTCTGGGAGTTCTCTTTACAATACTCATCACTAGGGATGCACCGAAATTTTACCCCGCAAAACATATTGGCCGAAAATGGCACTTTTGCCAAGATGCCGAAAGTGCCATCTTTTGGACGAAATAGCGGTGTATCCCTGCTTTCTCTCCTCCCCGCAGGGCGCTGCTCTGTGTCCCAGCGGGGAGGAGATAAACTGTTACAGGAGGCTGAGCGCTGTGGGAGGAGAGTGCTGTGAGTGGCTGGAGTCTTTCCTCCTCGCACCGCTCAGCCTACTGTGACAGATCAGGAGAGCGGCAGGGTGGGGGGAAAACCAGCTGTCAAAGGAGGCCGGGCTGGCGGAGAGGGGGAGGAGATAGCTGTCACAGGTAAATGAGCTCTCTGCACCACTCGCTCAGCCTCCTGTGACAGCGAGTCAGGATGAAGACCGGGTACAAGCAGCCAGTGCTTGTAAATAATTGAGGACATAGTATGTTTACTGTGTCCCCAATTATGAATGAATGGGAAGTGATCTACATCAACATTTCAGTGCACCTCTACTTATCATATTAGGGTATCTTACTTATACTTAAGATGACATATATGCTCAAATACCTCATCAAGTTTGTAACTGTCTATATTTGCTAAGGAAATTAGTTATATTACCTTTATAGTGATATTTGTAGTGAATTATTCCACGATGATCCATTATAGAGGTTTATACAACATTGTGGGGTATTAGAGCCAGGTTAGCCAAAGAAATACGGTCTTCTTTTTTATATTCGTATTTATTTCTATAGCCATAGGATCGGGGGATTTTCTACTATTTGAAAATATTTTACATTTGTGTGCAACTCATTTGGAAAATGTTTAACCCCTTCATGACTGAGCTTGTTTTTGGTTTCTGTTCGTAAATGACTGACACACTTTTGACATTTTTGCTGTGTGATTCTTCCACGTCAGTAATATACTTTCTTACAAAGTGCACCCACACATATTATATATTGTTTTTTAAGGGACAGATAGGGCTACATATTTATATCAATACAGTGTACGTGACGAGTCATTTGGTCCCTTTGTGGCTGGACGTACAGTGTACGTCTCCCGTCACGAAGGGGTTAAGGAAGATTTTTTTTTTTACCATGTCCTAAATTATTCCCTGTGTCTCCTAGTTTTATATTTGATTGGTCTTTTCTCCCCTTATTTTGTGTGATGCAGATAAGATCTTGGCAGCTTTCAGCTCTAGTGCACCTCGCTGTATTTTATTTTTAGTAAGATGATATTTGATATTTTTGCTGCAGGGTAAAGCAACCTGAAACTAAAACAGTTTCTTAGGAAATTAGCTAAATTTTTAATTCACTCCAATTTTATATTAAAAAGGAGAACTATGAGGTGAGTGCTTTTCACTCAGCCTCATAATCTGAGCCGACCTGTCACAATGAAACTGTCACAGGTCGGCTCAGTAGAAGTGAGCGAACACATACTGGCGCTCGCTCACTTCTCGATCGAGTCACTGCAGAGAGCCGTGACAGGGGAGTGACTGGATTCCCCCCTCCCCTGTCCGATCCTCCAGCGCTGACTGGCGGAAAGGACGGGGGAGGGGGCGGGTACAGCTGGCTCTGCCTCTAGATAGGCAGAGCCAACTGTCACTCACGAAGCTGGGCGGATCCAGACATAATTGTCGGGATCCGTTTCAGCGTCACAGTGTACCGCGAGCTGCAGCGACGCTAGTTTGTGTCCTCCCGTTACCCTTCGGAGAACTATGGGGGAAAGCCCTAAAGTGAAAATATCAAAAGGAGTTCTATACAGAATGAATGAACCATTGGCTGAAATTTGTATACATAGCAACAATTGGTGGATTACTATTTGAGGGAGTCATTCTAATAGTGTATAGTGGTTTAGTACAATTTCCTTTTTTTTTAATGAAAGTCAGGGATGGAAAAAATAGGTTTTCTTTTTATAGGTAAATATAAATATTAGTTATGAATATTTTGTTATAATCCCCTCCCCTCTCGCTCAGAAGAGCACTGTAAGGATTCCTATAGAGTCTAAAAGTAAACAGCTGTCGCTTGCTGTCTCTATAGATACCTAGAATTCTGAGTGCTGTCTATTCCGAGTCATAGGTGCATTCTGTATTACATGCTAATGGCAAAAAAGCAGTGAATGTGACACACAAATATTCACTGCAGCTGAATCTTTCTGGTGCATATGTGCATATGTTTTAAATTACAGGTGTCATATTCCCCGCTACTGTATATAGATCAGATAAACACACCAGCATAAAAAATTTCAAACAGTCCCCTACCACGAACATTGTTACTATTAACAGCGCTATTGATTAGAGAAGTCTATGGCTTGGTGGGGAGGGAGGATTGGGACAAGTCAGACTGCTGCTGTGTGTCAGAGCAGAGGTCCGACTCTCCTAAATGCTGCCAGCACAGGGAATTTTAAGCCTTATTAATTACTGTATACGCAGCCTGGAAACATTACAGAAATAAGTAGGAAAGGTTTATCTAGGCTTTTAAAAAAACTTTAACCACTTGCTGACCGGGGTGTTTATACCACCTTCCTGTCCAGGCCATTTTTCAGTGTTCAGCGCTGCGGTACTTTGACTGACGTTTCGTCTATCATGCAACGCTGTACTGAAATACATTTTATACAATTTTTTGGGGACAGAGAGAGCTTTCTTTTGGTGGTATTTATTCACCTCTGGGGGTTTTATTTGTTACTATATAATGAAAAAAGTACCGAAAATTTTGAAATAAAAATGTTATAAAACATTTATTATTATTACCCAAATTTTTGGTAAAATATAAAAGTCGGGGTCACGTCGGGTAAAATCGACACCAAACATGTCATGCTTTAAAATTTTGTGCGCCCGCGAACTCGCAAAAAACTACAATACCCAAAATTGACCATAGGCGACGCTTTAAAAGCTTTTACCGCTCATCAGTTTAGTGTTATCAGTGATTAATGGCCCTAAAATGATTGCTCTCATTCTGACGTTCACGGCGATATGCAACATGTGCGGCGCAATGGATACAATCATCGTTTTCGAACGTAGGCGCACTCGACGCATGTTTGCATGTGTATGTTGGGGGCGGGGACTTAAATTTTTTTTTTTTATTGCTTTTATATGTGACTTTATTTTTTTGTAACTAATTCTTTTTAAAAAAATGTTGTTACTTAACTTTATTGCTATCACATAGGGGACTAACAAGCCCCTATGAGATACCCAATTTGCAGTGACAGGTCCTCTTTATGGAGACATCAGTCTCACACTGAGCACAGCTGAGATCGGGATCGCCAGCAGAGGCTGCATTGGGGTGGGGCCCACACATATTACAAGCGACCTGGCTCCTTTAAAGACGCCTGAACGCTTGTATGTAAACATCCATCGCTGGCTGTTTTACGTTCCAAGCTGATTTAAAAACGCCCACCGGCATTCAAGAAGCTGCTGTTCGGCCGTTTAATTACAATGGCCGGACAGCAGGTGGTTAAGAAGAACAATATTGTATTGTCTGGGAATACTACTTTGGAAATTGTAATTTAGATAGCACTAGAGGCTTTATTGGCATAACTGCACTGTGCAAATGTTTATTTGTAAAATAAAAGGTTTTATAGAAACAAAAGGAAAAAGCAATACAAAAAAAAGGAGAAACAAAAATATAAAAAAGAAAAAAAAATGCAAAAAAGGAAAGTTAAACATTATATTGTATTAATCTTTAAGCAAAACAATAAAATAAAATGTGCTTGGTTTATACGGATTTTGTAAAAGCAGCTAAGAAATTTAGCTAGTGCATTTATTTTTTCAAATTATATTTACTAGTAGCAGCCAAGTCTTTTGCTTTGAATGTATACAGATGATTTGTAGCAGAGTGTGTCCTTTATGCCATGACTGCCTTCTCACAGTGTTATTTTTTATCTAACACTTTTTGAACTGCTGTTTGGCATAATTTAGATGTAAAAGCTATTTCTAGAATCCCCACTTTCTAGTGCATGATAGAGGTCAGGAAATGCTCTTTGAAGACCTGCCATGTTCTGAACAGGTTAAGAAAACAGTATAAAAAGAGGAGTACAGCTGAAAGCTTTCCTAATTGATAACCCCCCGCCGCTTCCAGTGGTTGTGCAAGCCCAAATCTGAGAAACCAACAGAGAGAAAATATTTTCTCTTCCTCCTATCAAACTGCGCGGCTTCTTCTTCTTCTTCTCTTTCTAGTTTCCTGTGGCTCAGCAGAGCAGATCTATTAGGTTTTTATCTTTTCTTCTCTGTATGTGCTCTAGAGACTCTGTTAGACCAAACTCTGATATTAGAGCTGGAGAGATGTTAAGAAATGCAGAGCCTTTACCCTCCTGGTAATGAATATATTTTGCCGGTGAGTGTAGACAGGCTGCCTTTTACACTTTGGTCCATATTAAAGCTGAACTCTAGACAAACAGCTAAGTATGCAGCACCCACAAATGGTTTCAGACAAAGCGCTGGAGAGTACTGGGCTGGCCAGCAATGAGTCAGTGTTGGAGGATCGGAGAGGGGAGGGGGGTAGAATCCCTGCGGGGAGTGATGACTGACAGTCACCGCTCTCTGCAGGGAGACGATCGGGAAATGAGCGAGCGACGGTATGTGTTCGCTTACTTCACGATCAATAGAGCTGATGTGTGACAGTTTCTTTGTCACATGTCGGCTCTAACTATGAGGATGAGTGGAAATCACTCACCTCATAGTTCTCCTTTAACACTGGAGGTAACGGGCCCTCTACTACACTTCAAGGACGATCCTAGGAATATACTGGAAGTCCCTATGAAGAAAGGTTAGTGCATTACATGATCAGAAAAGATTTACCTTGGAGATGGAGGCGTTTCCCGCGGGCTCTTCTCCTTCTCAGGGGATTCTCTTTTAGTTGGTTGCTTGATTTCATCATCTGCTAAACTGGATTGCTTTTTTTCCTCCCTGCTTTCTACTTTCCTCTTCCACAACGGCAGAGGCTCATCAGTTTCAGGTTTTACGAAAGCAGGGTTATTTTTTTGTGGCTTAAATCCAGTAGCAATTGACCCATCATCTTCAGATGGTTTCATGAACATGTTTTTGAGTTTGGAAGAGCTACTGTTTGGGACAGCAGCCTCTTCCAAACGTTTGGCCAGATATTCTCTACGTTCTGCTCCTCCTCTGTCCCTCTTTGAGTCTCTCTCTTCTTCCTTTGTTTTGTCAGAGTAATACGCTCTGTCGTCTCTATGGAAATGTCTGTCATGTGAGCTTTCATATTTATCTCGAGGTCTCTCATACTCTCCAGAACGATCTGGTCTTGCTGACCTCCGATAGTCATCGCCATGATGTCTAGGTGTCCTCCATTTTTCACGTCGGTCATCTTGTTCTCTTCTAGAATTCTGTGATGCCATTTTATCTGCAGCTTCCATTTTGCTTTGGAAGATTTCCATAGACTGGCCACAAACAAAAAACAATTACACTTTGTTCATAATTCAATAATAATAACGGTAATGTTACACTCGATTTCACATACTTAGAAAAAGCAGCAAACTCATTAAGGAAACTTTTTAAAGTGGACATACATACTGTAGCTGTATAGAATATGTTTTATCTCTTCAAAGACCCTGCGGGTGCAGAAGAGTACTAGTTAGTCTGCCATAAATGCACTCAACTCTGGCACCTGCACTCAAGCACTGTTCGCCGGGAATTTTTGAACCAGCTCCTTCGACAAAAGCTACTTTTGTCGAGCAGCTGAAGGAGGGGAACCACAAGGCCACCCATCACTTGACTTTCAGGCAATTCAGCAGGAAACAGTCAAAATGTGAGCGGTGAATGACCTTAAATAACGTGACCAGACTCCTTGCCCAGTCTGAGACTGCAAGCTGTTCTTGGCCAATAAGGGAGTAGAAAACTAAAAAACTGGATAGATATGGACTTAAGAAAATAAGGATCGCACATTGAAGTCATCGATCCACACTGCCACAGACAATATTTCTAACATCTAGGAAAGTGTCAAGGTGGCCTCAATAAGGAAAATAGAGTAGCCACCATCACCCAGTGCAAATGGTGACATGGATGTAGCAAATATGTATTAATACCATATGCTATACAACACACACACAGGGGGAAAATTGTCAAAACTGGGGCAGACAAAATCTGGGGCAGCTGTGCATGGCAACCAATCAGCTTTTCTCTTCAGTTTGTTCAGTTAGGATTTGAAAATGAAAAGTGGATTCTGATTGGTTGCCATGCACAGCTGCTCCAGATTTTGTCTGCTCCAGTTTTGATAAATTCTCTTCACAATGTATAGTATATGTTATTTAAAAGAGAACTATGGGGTAAGTGTTTTTCCCCATAGTTCTCTTTAGGGCTACGGGAGGACATATACTAACCTCCTCCCGTGACCCAAAGCTCAGTATATAGCAGGCTACTGCCTACTATATACTGAGAGCGCCGCAGCTTGGAAGGAACCTGACAATAGTGTCTGGATCCACCCAGCTGCGTGAGTGACTGACAGTCACCGCTCACTGCAGGGTGACGATCGGGAAGTAAGCGGATCGGCGGCATGTTTCTGCTCACTTCCCGATCAATAGAGCCGACCTGTGACAGCTTCTTTGTCACAGGTCGGCTCTAACTATGAGGATGAGTGCAAATCACTTACCTCACAGTTCTCCTTTAAGTAGCAGGAAAGAACAGCTGCTTTCTCTCCTAATAATTCTACTTGAAGAAATGAAGAGTCAAAGAAAGTGGACACATTGGACTATTATCTTATGACTGCAACTTGATTCAACACATTTACTACAAAACACAGTATAATAAAATATCAGTTATGAAAATGTGAATATTCCATTGCTACATTCCCACCCCATATCTTTCAGCCACAACGTCTTCCAGGTTCCGCTTTTCCTTTTCCGCCTGTTCCCTCATCCTCTGCAAGGACTTTTTTAACCAGCTCAGGCCACCGTCCTCAACATGATGAACTGTGGAGCAAATCAGATGCCATGTTAAAAAATTTGTAAAAAAAAAAAGAAAAGCTTTAAAATCACATTCTTGTTAAAAAAAGGAAATTTATCATGAAAAGGTCTCAACTATAGAAGCTGAAAATCTCTTGACTTCAGGCAATGACACTCTTCACAGTGAAGAATAAAGTGCAGGAGGTGGTAGGGTATAGAAAACGCTGCAAACCGATATCCACCAGCAGTCCCTCCACTCGTGACAAATTTGTTTTTAAAAGACTCTTGAAGAGCCAAGCTAGCAGAGGAATGTTCATTACACAACAGTTCACGGAGTGTGATGCCTTTTCCCGTTTATCTTCTGGTTCCTTCCGCGGGCCCCTACATCAATGGACAGAACACAATAGTGATGTAGGGGCCAGCTCCCCGCAGCGATCCCCCCCCCCAAGTGGTACAGACAGGGGAAGGGGCGGACACAGCTGGCTATGGCTCTAGAGAGGCAGAGCCAGGTATCAATCAGGCAGTGGGGTGGATCCTGACATTATTGTCAGCATCTTTTCGGCTGCAGTGTGGCTCTGCACTGTCAGCAGCTAGCAGGCAGTTGCTCGCTATATGCTGACTTTGGATCACAGGGGTACATTACTAAATGTACTACGGTGACCCAAAAGAGAACTAAAGCCAAAAAAAAGTTTTGGCTTTAGTTCTGTTTGAAACACAGGGCTGGACAAATCCCGGGAAAGCCAGGTAGCCAATGCTCCTTAAAAATCACAGCTGGCATCAAAGTTTTGAGGTTTTCTCTAGTTGTTGTCAATGGAGCTGGCTCCTGGATTGGACAGACCGGCTCCATATAAATTTGGCCACTTACCTTAACGGTTATAACTAGGGATGTACCGATATATCGGCCGAAAATGGCACTTTTGGCTAAATGCTGATATAGCGCTTTCCCCCCCGCTGGGCGCTGCTCTGTGTCCCAGTGGGGAGGAGAGAAAGTGTCATAGGCGGCCGAGCGCTCTGGGAGGAGAGCGCTGTGAGCAGCTGGCGTCTCTCCTCATAGATCGGCAGAGCTGGTGTGTGGGCGGAGACAGCCGGAGCTGTCACAGGAGACCGGCCAGCGGTGCAGGGGAGGAGTCAACAGTCAGATCGATCTCTCCTCTCCACACCGCTCGGTCAGCCTCCTGTGACAGCGTGTCAGGATGGAGAGCGAGGTACAAACACTCAGTGATCAGTGAATGTTTGTAAATAATTGAGGACATAGTAGGTTTACTATATCCTCAATTATGAATGAATGGGGAGTGATCTACATGATCTCCTGTTCATTCATGATTGTGGTTATAGTAAACACACTCTGTCCTCATGTTATGAATGAACAGGGACACTGAATACAGAGGATTCCTGTTCATTTATAACAGGAGCTGCAGAAAAAGAGGGAGGAAAGGGAAATATCAGGGGTCTGTTTAGAGCCCTAATATTTCCCTGAAGACCCTAAAAGTAAAGCAACAAATAAAAATGTTTAATATGAATAAATAAAAAATATAAAACAAAATTAAAAGTTTATAAAAAATTAAAATAAAATATATTTGAAAAAATTTGAAAAAGTTAGAAAAAATTTCAGTTTCGGCCTGACATTTTTCTTCATTTCAGGTTCGTTTCGGTTTTAAAATTTTAATTTCGGTGCACCTCTATTTATAACCTAAGACTGAATATGAAGATTCTTCCATAATCACAGTTTTCCTTTTAAGCAGTTTTATTTAGGGAAAAACACAAAAGACAGCTAAGTAATGAACATGAGCTGGAGATACGATCTTCCTTTCTGCAGAGTTCTAATCTTTCAAGGCTCCTCTGACTCTTTCTTGTGACAGTGAAATATGTCTGCAGACAGCTGGATATAGAAGCTGCTTGAAAGGAAATTGCATTTACCTTTCTTAAGTGAGGTTACATCCCCCTCGTCTGGTGGCAGCCCTGAACCGCCGTCCTTCCAGAACGGGTTTAATTCCCTGGCCTGCAGCTGGACCTGGAAGGAAAACCATTCCGTCTCAATAAGCTTTGCACATTCTTCACAATCGCACTCAGACAAAGTAACACAATACAGACAGAGGAAAATATAGAACAGTCCTCGCCATCTCATCCGTTCAGTATTGTACCTGCTACAGATGTGCAGCGCATTTCAAAACTGAATTCCAATTATTAAAATGTATATCAGTGAGTACATACTATAAAAGCTGAACTACTGCCTGACCTTCAGTCTTCCACAGTCCTACCGGCTCCTCTCCTGTACTAAAATAGCGAACTTCAATTTCACTGCACACCGTCAGATTCTCACAATGTGCATTAGAAGCTGCAGACATCA